TAAACATAGAAATGGGGAGGGTCAGTAGACTTCCCCATATACACGCCCTCACCGGCCTGACAAGGTTCAAGCCGGATCATCCGGGAGATGGAAGGGTCACAAACCCTGTACGATCTCAAGATCGCATTAACTTCAAGAAAGGATTTGTTCCCTCTCTAATTTTAATTTTTCTAGTAGTGTGTCATCTTGTCTCTAGGTGGTTAGAGAAGTAGTTCTAAGGTAGAAGGAAGCCAAAATGGGTGAACAAGGTGGCCTTTGGCTTGTCTTGGCAGAACTAAAAACTAAGGAATTGGTTTGCTTTGGTTAACCAAATGAAGGTTAAACTAATTCAAATCCATTCCTTAGGCCAAGAGAAGAAAAATAAGTCCAAAATCACTTTTGGTTAGTTCCACACCTTTATTACTTCCACACTATCTAGAATGGCTATTGCTATAGCACTAGAATTACTATTTCTACTCCAACTACTAAAACTCTAGAAAACTAAAAATGGTGACCATGAATACAAGGTCAAAAAGAATAGATTTCAATAAGGAACATGCCTATGAATCCTAAAGGCATGACCTACGACAAAAAAATATATATACCTCCAAATACAAGGGTAAAATAACCTATACAATTAACTACTACATACAAAGGAATTGAAAACAAACTATAAAAAGTATATACAATAGAAGACTAGGCAACTAAGAAGGAAACACATACTTTATGCTCATGATAAGCATAAGTCTAAGAAGCATATTCTCTCTAGTAGCTTCTTCTAGTCTCTTAACCTTAGACCTTGTCAAAGGTTCTATGCTTTTCAATGATGGTCCTCTATCACATATCATTCTTGAGTTTTTCAATCCTCTATTTGCAATAATTTGCACTTTTCTTTAAACTTTTTGTACTCGAGTGATCATGTGAGAGTTTGCTAGAAGAGTTTCATAGGATATCTCCTCTTCATTATAATTATTAAAAGAAAAAGAGTTAGAGTCACATTCTACCTCTAATTTTGTTTCGTTTACATATACCATAAGACATATGTTAGCCTTGTCATTGTCTGAATTGTTGTTACTATTGTCTAGATCCTCCCAAGTGGCCATCAAACTCTTCTTGGTCTTCTTTTTATTGGTCCATCACTTTTTAAGTATAGGACATTCAACCTTAAAGCAACAAAATCATTTGATTTGAGATGATCCATATTATTTAGATGGACTTCATGGACTCTTAGGGCTCCTAAAAGTTCATCCAATGAAAGAGTTTTAAGGTCACGAAATTTTGATATAATGGTGATCTTTGGAAGACTATCTGAGATCTTGTGATTGTTCTAAGCTTTAAAAATCTCAATTCCTAAGGATTTTATCCTATTGAGAATGGTTTGAAACCTTCCAATCATCTCATCAATGGTTTTGTTCTCCTTCATAAAGAACAACTCATAGTGTCTCTAAAGAATAGTAGTTCATTTGAGCGTTGTATTCAATACTCTCATGATTTACCCTAATGACTTCTCACATTTCATTAGCAGTCTTGCAATAGCAAAACTTGTTGTACTTCATTCTTGACAAAAAGTAAGCTAAGATATATCTTGTTTTTGTGTTAATCTATAAGATGTTGTACTCTTCCTATGTGTACTGGGGCGGAGGAACCAGCACCACTCCCTCCAGCCATGGAGAAAACAAGAAAGACTCGAAGAAGATTGGGAAAGAAGGAAAAAGAAAACTGTAGAAAGGAAGTACCTGGTACTCTTCCTCAGAAAACAACCCTAACAATGACTGGGTTACCGGAAACGACGGCGAAAACGGAGAAAATGAAGATGGAGGATAAGCAGAAACGAGAGAAACAGCGTGCGCAAGAAGTTGAAAGAGCGAAAATGAGTAAAGTGAAAAGGGAAGAGGCGCGAGGGAGAGAAAAGGGTTTTTCCCAAATTCAAAACGGTCACGACACGTGTCAGCCTAAGGGCACGTATGACGGCACATTAATTGAGAACCATTATGACAAATGCAAACCATCATTACATAACCGTCACTCCCGTTAACGCGCCACTTGCACGTTTTCGGAAATGACCAGTTATGACACACGACATCTCAACAAGCAGGCGTACGCAAAGGGTCACAGCTACTTGACGAGCTCGGTCTTAACTCTTCGAACCACGGTCTTCGGAGCTCGGGGGGCTAGTGTACTATCCGTACTGCAAAACCGAGCTCCCGGCTCGGCATCACAACGCGTAGCGACCTCAGATACGCGCTTTGTGACGTTAGCTCGTCACTTAACCAGATCATAACTGATCTTAGGAGATCTCGGTCCAGACGAGATCCGCTATCTAATTAGATCACAACTGATCTCAGGCCCAAGGCCCAACGCAACCCTAATTTACACTAAGGTACGTGCATTACTTATACGAGACATATACTCATACAAATCCTAACTTTAGCATTAGAGTCTCTTTTGCAGGTACCACCCCCATCTTGGAGCATCAAGCGTACCAGCGAAAGAGGCTCACCAATCTTACTTGGAGGATCATCTCTACGACAAATTCTCAGTAAGAACACTATGTATTAAGAATTTTGAATTCAATGATTAGATTGTTGAAATTTGATGTAGAACATGAATTATTGAATAGAATAAGTTTAGGTAAACTTACTCCTAGAATAAATAAATCCCTTCTCTCTATATATATTTGGTGCCTAGGGTCAAATGATCATGATTTGCTGATAAGCACTAAATAAAATAACAAGGGTGTAAAGTGGTGGGAAATTAAAGTGGCTAATAATAGCGAGGTTCGTGTTCATAGCTATAGTGGGCAAAATAAATTGAACGGGAACTTTTTAAAATTTGCTGAAATACTCTTAAAACCTTTAAAATAATTGAACTGAACTACTCTCAAAATATCTAAACTAATTAATAAAGAAAAGGTAGGGACGCGTAGACTAAGCTTATGGAACCGGTATAAAACATTGCGATCCTATTTCCTTCACCCACATACCAAAATTTTAATATGGACTTGGAGGATACCACAAGGGAATCGCCCATGATGCAAGGGATTATCATGTACTGTAGTGCAATCTGTCATTCCCATGTCAAAGAAGGAAGAGGGAAAAAAAAAAAAAGGAAACCCCAATGAACAATGAATACGACTATAATATAGACGAGACATCCGAATTACTAATGAACTATGGCAAAGAAGTTACTGTTTAAATGCACGGAGAGAAAGGTTAACATTAGTATAAAGTTCAATCAATTGCGTGTAAGGTACTATTAATCCTATATTTTAATATAGAAGACAGAATATAAGTTGAATGTCAGCATCTCCAACTACATGACCCCAGTTTCTAAATATTCTGATAAATATGGTGACAAATTGTTTTATAGTTGGCCCCTCTACAACCCTTCCAAGTGCCTTGCAGCAACCAAAGTTTAGAGTTGCATAATAAATAAATATCATCCAAAAAGCACAAGGTTCCCACTACTACTCGAGTCAAATAGAGTCAAGTATCAGCTTCTTTCGAAAGATACCATTCTTTTGCCTAACATACATATACAGCAACATCATGTGAAAAGGCCACTTCAAAGTCAGCCATAGAATCGATTAGGTTTGATTGAGTGAACGACATGCCCCCGAATTCGTGCCAAACTCAATTTAAACTGTTGATATTGCTTGGAAAATCATGCCCTGCTTACTGAACTGGAAAACAAGCCGACACTAAATTTGTAAAACACGATTTACAGCTAACAAATTTGATATTCCTTGCTTTGCAACGTCTGATCTTGTCCACCTGAGGAGTATCTGATACGGGTTTAAATTGAAACAGCACAAAGAACAAGATGTTTGATTCTACTTAATTGCAAAACTCGGATAATAATCAACTGATATGAATTACATAAAAAGCCTAACCAAGGTTAAAGACCAAACTGATTGCTTCAGCACCCTCTAATAACATGACTGAGCATTCATTCTCTGCTGAAAATTAAACAGCAGAAAGAACCATGTTCGAATATACCCAGATAGAATTACACAAAAAGTGTTCGATTATCCCCAACAAAGCATCCACCAGACCAGATTATTAGCAAACTCTCAACAAGGAGAACAAAAACGGAAACCTTACAACAAGCCACAACTCATGACATGATACACCTTCAAGTTCCAGAATTCTTCACTTCACACGGAATAAAAAAGAAAAACAAATTGCATGAGCAAGTCAACGAACTTGAAAAAGAAATAATATTTAATGACAAATTAATATTTTTGCATCATACTAAAATGACAACTAAGAAGCACAGGGGCATCATTTTATAGTCCCTAGTTGCAAGCAACAAGTAACTGTAAGTCCAACTATTTTTCATAAATCTAGATTTTCCCTAAGAAAACAATTGTTTATTACGGACGCAACCCAAGAGACTCTAGTTCTGCCTATAAGCAATATAGTTGGCTAAAGCAATCAAAGGAGCAGCCTTAACAGGGTCAAACCCAGCAAGCAGAGCCAGAGCATCCTTGTTCAATTTCGCAGCAAACTCCTTAGATTTCTCAAGCCCCAAAAGCTTGGGGTAAGTAACCTTATCAGCCACAAGGTCCTTCCCTGCAGTCTTCCCCAATTCATGGGAAGACTTTGTAACATCAAGAATATCATCCACAACCTGAAACAGCAACCCTATGTACTGAGCAAACTTCCTCAATTTCTCCACCTCCTCATCGGCGCCACCGCCCAGGATGGCGCCGAGGACCACCGCGCCCTCC